GCTGTTGCTTGCACACAGTAAGCCAATGGAAGTTGTATTGATAATGAGGTTTGTAATAAAGTGGATGGATTGTAGAGTGGAATTTGTCAAAATATCTCGATAACTAGATGGTCTTTCTTTGAAATACCACTCATAGTTGTCTTGATGGTAAATAGATCATTTTAAGTGCACACATTGATTTACTTTAGAATAGCTAAAATGTTCCTGAAAATAATGGCTAGATGGAGGGTTGACAGGCCCAATTTGTATATAGTAACAATTTATCTGACTTCCAATTTGGTATGAATGTCCAAATTGAAAGGAATGAAGCATGTGATATGTCATAATATTTTGTAGACGATTCACATAACTAGGTTTCAAAAACTGACTAAAAAAAGTATTTGGATTTTAAATGATATCTATAAAGAGGAGAAACTCATCTTTGAATGACAATAATGTGATTCATGAAAATAAAATAGTCTACAGTTTTTGGCTAATAGGTAAAATATGGAATCCACTCTATTGGGCTATTTCTGCCACTAGAGAACCTTAATTAGAAATCTCCAATTATGTATGCACATGCCAAAATATGAGTACTCTGGCAAATGAAAAATTTACATATACAATGTTTTTAATCAAAGTACCTATTTGATTGTACAAGTATGTGTTTTTCAACACAAAATTTGAATTCTGTCCTTGTGATTCTGCATTTATACAGGTGCCCAATTACTTTGTTGGTGCAACTTAGAAACGCCTGCTTGATGTACTATGATGTCAATTCTCTTCCATTTATAGTAAAATGGATGAAATTTTTTTTGACTCACAAAACAGAACACACTGTACCAACATAGGAAATACATCATTTTACTACTTATAATAGGAGAACTCTGTTTCACTGCCATTCTCTGCTAAGAAGAGCAAAATTGTGCTTTTGTTTTTGTTTTTCCTCATTCAATTTGTTCCTTTCTCTCTTCTTATTTGGAATTTGCTTCAAATTTTGAAGATGACTCTGGTTCACAGGGAAAAACCTTCAGTGGCAATAATACTGAGTTCACTCAATTTTCCACATTGTTAGTCCCTAAATGATGGGAGTAGGCTGTTGATCTCTGCCACTTGTAAGCATAGGGAAACTTTAGAGCTGGTAAAATACCAGATTTATAGCCCTAAAGACAGATGTTCTCTGTGGAGATGCTGGGAAATGCCTTGTGAAGCAGTGAGGCAGAACTGTATTTCCTTGTGGTCTTTCAGGACAATCAAAATTCTTCTTGGCTCTCTGTGAGTGAGGTACAGTAAACTAGGTGACCTGCTCATGGAGACAGAGCTCTGGGTAAGTAGGTAAGTGCTCTCTAGTTATATCATATGGACAAAGCAACAGGGAAATGGGCTGCTTCTGTTGCAGCATGAGTCGCCACCTCATATAGGGGCTCCACATTTCAGATGTGCTATTGGTAACAGCAGCAGTCTCTTGGTTTTGGAATCTTTCAGAGAAGAACTTCACTCTACACCTTTTGCAGTCTTGAGGATTACACTGAGACATGCTGTGACAACACAAGCACAAAGTCATTGGCTTTTCTTGTCCTTACTTGTCAGTAAATGTGTACAGAAAAGGAGTTTCTAAATTAGGCATTTGTTGTGGCACAATCCTCCCAGCACTCAAGAGGCAGAAGTTAGCAGATCTCTGTGTGTTCAAGGCCAGCCTGATCTATAGAGCAAGTACCAGGACATCCAGAACTACACACAGAAAAATCCTATTTCAAAAACAAACAAACAAAACAAAGAAAAACAAAACAAAACAGACAAACAAAACACACACACACACACACACACACACACACACACACACACACACACACACACAGGGAAAACTAGTTGGTAAATATCCAGTCTGGATTTTCACTTTGTCTCCAGGAAGATTTGTAAGCAAATATGAAGGAATCCTTCCATTGCCTCTGGATTCTTTAAATGTAGGCTTTGTCATCCCTCTTTATATTGTGTTTTCTGCAACATATTTCAACTTGGGTATGGGATTACCCACATACACATAGGTAAAATTATCTGGTCTCACCAATACCCTGTGTTGTGTTTTAGTTTTGTTCTGAGATTGGGATTCTCTACATATCTTGTCTTTCATACAACTCACTAGGTAGGCAAGGATAACCTCAGATTTACAGAGATATCCGTCCTCCAATGGAGGTGTTCTGCCTACAGAATGCTAGAATGATTAAAGGCAAGCACCAAAATGTCTGTCTCTGCTTTCTTTTTCAGTCATTGCTTTTAATTCCCCAAGTGAGTGGATGCACTATTGTAATAAAAACCAGTACTGGTCTGAGCTATCAGTAGGGTCCTGCTCTAAGACCTCCTATGGAATCCAAATCCTACAGATAGTCATCACTTATTTGAAATGCAGAGTATTTTCACATATTGTCCTGTATATGGTTTACAATTCCTACCATTGCTGATATCAGTACTGTTCTACTGGATTGTCTACTGGATTGACAAAGAAAAAAACATGAACTTCACTAGGGAAGATACAGTCTGTCTTTTCTTAACTAGTTTCACCCTAACAATAGAGCTATTATGCAGCTGCTTTAGCTACTGAAGGTGACCATGTACTTAAGAGGTCAAAGTCAATGATCTAATATCAAAGTTTAAACCATGTCTCCAGGTATTATCGCTGTTGTGTAGTCTCTCTCTGGATTCATTCTTAGTTCAACTATGTCAATTAATATGGCACAAGCAGAGGCACTTGCATTAGGGCTGTTTGTTAGAACATTCATAGAACTGAACTGTGCAAAGGAGACTACTCTGCTAGAAAGATGTATCACTTGAAATGCCTCTGAAATATGTCCTACCATGTAGGAAGAGATATTGAATGCTGTTATTTTCTTTAAATGGAGACTGGTGAAATGTTTATTTATCTCATTTCAATTTGGATAATCTGAGAAATAATTTTAGTATCTCACAGGCCATGGGATGAACTAAATAAAATAATCAGTGTGAATAATTTAGCACAATGGCTGAATCAGAGTAGCACTTGATGTATGATAACAGTTATATTAATTATATTATCACAGTCATTACTCCCATTATGACAGGTTCTAAAACTACATGAACCAATATCTACATTGACAAGACTACTTACAAACAAATGCATTTCAAAGGTCCTTAATATCCATCACCATAAAGAAAATTAATTTACTTACTACATTATTATTTATTTATTTGTGTTTTCACCCTTGAGATTTGAACAAGTGGAACAATCAGACTACTAACATCCTTGTCCATTAGCAAGGGTATACAAAACCAAAAGGATTGTGGTCAAGGATAGGAGAAAAGTCAGGTACAGTCTCGAGAACAGGAATGATAATAATGTCTGCTTTGTTAAGATTATAGACTCCTTGTTAGCACTGCTTTTACTTTCTGTAATTTATCTATTGCTGTACAATGACGTGAACAACTTTAAATAGGTTGAAGTATTAAAATATGTTTAAATACCATCTTATATTTTACTTATTTTAGTGTTACTTCACACAATGATATTGACTTTTGAGATCCCTTAAATTTACCCTGGATTAACTAAAATGAAAGTGAAAGTGGTCATGAGACATCTAGTTCAGACTGTGTAACTAGTTCCTGTCTAGCTTAGCCAAAATTGGCTGGTTTGCTCTAATCTAATACAGTCCTTTCCATAAGAAAATATGAGCACATTAAATATATTTTAAAAATAAAATAATGAATCCAAGTCAAATTCATGAAAATTAATCTTCTTAATACAGAGAGGAGGCAAAGGTGAGAATAATTTGATGTGGATCTTTACAGTGTGCTCATTAGACCAGTGGCTTTGACATCACTTAAGAATTACCTGAAATTTGGGCTTAATCAACAGTAGATCCATCTCACCAAAACTGACATTTAGAAGGTTAAATTATGCAATTCTCATGTGTGCTATTGCCAGTATTCTCTGTTATAATAAATCTTTTTTCTACCTCTATCATTTTCTAAACATGTGTTATATAGCATCCTATATAACCTTTATTCATTTTTTCTAACTGAACACATGCACACATTTTCTTCATCCTATTTTCTTTCTACCATGCTTCTATTCTGGCCATCTCATTTATATAAAGCAATTTTGGATGAGGAAAGGGAGAAATTATATAAAAGATCCTGACTTAACTTTTCCTATGTACTATATTGAGTAAGAAAAAAATTAAACACTTTTTAATTATTACTACCACATTATGAGAAGCTGTATTAAAGGCTTGTAGCATTGGGGAAGTTGAGGACCACTACCCTACATTTTCCTTCCCATACTACCTTGTATTTAAAAATATTTTAAACTGGTAAACCGAAGGCAGTGAAGGCTAATCATCCAATAGAAAAGTATTCTTTTAAGTTCAGCAGTGTACGTTCAGTGGTATATAGAATTCCAGTGATGTCATGTTTACATAAAGTCACAGACAAAAAGTGCAACTACACTGATATGAGTTAAGTTATAAGAATTATGACTCTAATATTAATATTTGATAACAAATTATCTAAATCATTAAGTAAATTAAGTAAGTTAAACTATATATTTTCTTTTTATTTTCCAAATTAGTAGAAAAAAATAAAGCTTATGTCATTAATGTCAGTGTTTTGCTTTGTTATACACACTAAAAAATATTCTGATAGCTTCTCATGAGATATATTTGTTTTTTGATAGAAAGTTTTGATGTAGCTTGAATAAGTTAAAAGTTCTCTGAAATCACCATGGTCTGTTAGCAATCTTGTTTCCCAACCTTTCCAAGTCTTATTTTTAAATGGAAGGAAATAAAAGATAAAACATAGTACTGTAAAATGCATTATGGATTTCTTGCAGGAACATTCATTTAGTACCATAACTTCAATTAGTACGAGCTAATAAAATTATTCAAATCTTGGAAGAAAAAAACATTTTACACATGTCAGAGGAAGAGAATGAAGAGGGGAAGAGAAGAAAGAAGGAGAAAAAAGATGGAGAAGCAGAATGAGGTACTCACCTCAGCTTTTCAGTTAATGGACAGGCACCATCATCTGAAAAAAAAAATATTGTTATGCTGTGATCATGAATATTATAAACAATCCAATTGTGTTAAAATACATTTTGCAAATCTGTAAGAGCAAAATTAAAAAAGTAAAGAAGTAGCTTGTCTGGCCTTATATATTTATGTATTCTGTCATCACCGTTTTAGAATCAGGGTAGTTAACCCACTGTTTTTCAAAATTGTTTTCAGAAACATATCAGATACATGTATATTATGCATAATTTTTATAACACATATTTTACAAATGTAGGCATAGAGATGCATATATAACAGTATTGGTCTAGGCATGAACATTATCTTGTTCGTACATAGCTCTGATCCTATATACATTGCACTTATAAGATACGATCCTCACAAATGATAACAAATTAAATAACAAAGTGTTCAGGGTCTTCAGTCACATACATATTCTCTTTATAAGTTTGTTTCATTAGAATCTGTCTCCCACCATTTTTCACCATGCATTTTCTTAAAACTGTTGTCCTTCCTTTTTTCTTTTCTTTTCCGATCCTTTCTTCTTTTGTTCCTTACTTTCTCCTTCCTTCTGTCTTTCACTCCACCTTTCGTCCCTCCTTTTTTTTTTATTCCAATCTCAATATTTACTTCCCTCCTTTTTTTCTTTCACAGTAATTTGGATCATTCCTTATGTCCTATCATTCTATAGGAGCAACTTAAATGGTGTCTTCATGGTAACACTTATGGTAGCCAGAGAAGAATTTACTCTACTCGTTAGGCATTTTGTCAGATATTTTGTACTTTCACTTTAGTACTTTGATTGTATCTTTTGTTGTAGACATGGGTTTTCATGTCTTGACTTTGTTCATCATTGTGAATCAACAGAATTCCTACTATGATGGGAGATGTCATTCTGTAAATGTTTCTCATACTGGCTAATGCATAAAGCACTATTGGCCAATAGGAAAGCAAGATAGGCAGGACTAGGCGACAAGGAGTAAAGAGGAAGTAGTAAGGAGGAGTCAAGATGGAAGACAAAGAAAGCAGAATCCTGGCAGCCTCGGCCTCTCTCTCCAGTAAGATAAGACCACGTGCAAGTAAAGATTAACAGAAATGGGTTAATACTTAAGACAGAGCTAGCCAATAAGAAACTAGTACCTGGCCAACAGAATTATATCAAATACAGAGTCTCTGTGTGTTAATTGGGTCTGGTGCAGTGGGGCAATACCAGAGATGGGAGGAAAACCTTACTTGTTACACTACTATGATTCTGAAGTAAGGGATGCCTTGAGTTACTGGCTGAGTTACAACTCTGGGTTTCTAGACATGTCAGTAGAAACATGTGAAGGAGTCATCCAAATTTAATTCATGAGATCATATGTAATAGTACAATATTTATGCTTTTAAAAATTTATTTGTGTGTGTATGTGTGTGTGTGTGTGTGTATTCCATATGTTTATACGTGCCTTCAATTCTAGCAGGTGACATCATATGATTGTGACTGAACTTAATATAACTAGTACAGAAAAAAATTCTGCTACAACTTTTCTCTTCTTCACTCTATTCCCAACCAGTCAGCTTTGCTTCTCCCAGTCCTATTGCTGAATGGATTAGTTTCAAATGTTTTCTGTCAAATGTTTGCAAGGAAAACACAGATATTCTGTAATTTTTAAAGGGGCTATACTGATTTAAATAGGGAAAGATGAAAATCGTAATCCAAATAATTCACCTGAGTCTTGATCAGGAACAAATGGGTTTGTCTAGATATTCAGCTGGTATACTAGGTGTATTATTCCCCTGAAATTTGAAGAGCTTTGGGTTTTTGTTAATCTTCCTTTTTCTTTTATTCTTTTTGCCTTAGATTTTGAGAATCATGGTAGTTGATATCTATATCTTCAATCACTTTTATATACCTTATATTATTAAAAATCTTTAACTGTGTAATAAATCAAATGAACCAACAATAGTATAATAGTGTGAATTAAAATGTGGAATAATTAATTCAATAATTCTTTGGTCATTTGCTGAGCAAATATTTTTGCTTATTAAAGAAGTATAAGTAGCCACATCTCCTGTGCTATTCTAGGAATTTCAGAGAAGGTGATAACCACGTTCATGTCTCCTACTTCCTATGCTGAGCTGTGGAGAAGACAGGGAAGGAACTGCATGTATAGTTAAACACAAGAGAATAAGATAATTCCAAACAAAGAGAAGAAAATAATTTCAATTACTGAAACAGGAATTTGACTCAGCAGACAAATGCTTAAATTGGGCAGTCAGTAATCAGATCAGAATTATACTGAGCAAGCTAGCTTTTCATAAGAGGAGTTCACTAGTAAGCAACAGAAAGATAGCCAAAATATTGCTAATATCTAGTACATAGAAAGGAATGATAATATTAAAACTGGGAAGGTATGTGGAAACAGAATACTAACTGCATGGAAGACCACTGATATAAAGTTTGCATATAGCCTAAGGGTCTTAAAGAACCACTGGAAGTGTTTTACATGATAGGTACATGTCATTTGTGTTTGATTTATAAATAGGAGCTGGTACTCTGTACGAAATGTAGAAAAGTGGCCATGGGAATTACAGGGTCCATTTTGAAACTTCACAGCAAAAATTAGTAGTGGTTCATAAAACTAATCAGAAGAGAAGAGCCGTGTCATACTCATCAAAGTGACAAACTAACAAGAGAATGCTACAATTCTAGAATATGCACACCAAACACAGGTGCACTCAGTTTCATACAACAAATATTATTAGATCTTAAAAAAAAACCTGTAGATTAAATCCAACAGACCCAACAGAGTGATGGCAGATTATTTCTCTATCTCCCTCTGACCAATAGACAAGATATCTGAACAAAAGCTAAACAAGGAAACATTGACATTAAATGAGATAATAAAATAAATTAATTCAATAGAAATCTACACAACATTTTTCCCAAACGCTAAAGAATACACATATTTTAGAAATTCATGAAAATTCCTTCAAGATCAACCACATATGAAGACAAAAAACAACTATTAATGAATAAAGGAAAATTGAAATACCATCTGATACTCTAACTGACCCCATTGGAATCAATCATTATATCATCAACAATGGAAAATAAATAAAATACAAGCACCCATGGAAATTTAACATCATATTACTGAATTTAATTCATTTGGTGGAAGACATCATGAATGGAATTTAAGAAATTCTGAGGACTGAATGGAAATGGAAACTCTACACAACAAATTTTATAGGACACAAAAAAGATATCCCTCAGAGTAAAGTCTATAACACTGAGTGCCTACATATACATACAAACAAACAAAAACCTGAGCACTCTCATATTAATAAGGGTATGAAGGATGTAGAAAAACAAGAATAAACAACATGCAAACATAGTAGATGGGAAGAGATGAAAAGTCAGGGCTGAACTTGATTAAACAGAAACAAAAATAACAAAAGGAATTAAGAGTTGGTTCTTTGAAAAGGTTAACAAGACTGATAAATTTTTAGCTAAATTACCCAACAGTAAAAGACAGAGTATTCAAATTAATAAAACCATAAATAAAAGAGGCATTATAACAGATATTGAGGAAATTTAGAATTATGTGGACACATTTTAAATTTAATACTCCACCAAACTGGAGATCTAAAATAAATGAATGAAACTCTAAAAGACTATGAACTGCCAATATTGACAAATGAGACCTCATCAAATGAAAGAATCATCTGGAAAACAAATAATAAAATCATTTGTGTAAAGAGGCATCCTCCAAAATGGAAAAAGATTTTTACCTGCTATAAGAATGGCAGAGAGTCTGTGTTTAGACTATATAAAAACTACAAAACCAACCATGAAGAAAGTAAACAACCAAAATAAAAATTGAAACATGGAACTAAATATAAGATTTGCAAAAGAAAAAATATGGGAAGCCCCCAGAAAGACCTGTAGAGCATGCCATCCAGCACCTTCTGCCATCCCAGGCTTTGACCAGCACACACAGGACAGGCACCCACTGGAAGAGAGAGCCATCTAGCATCTACTGCTAGTGGAGCCTTGGACCCACCTGCACCCACCTGAAGAGAGCCTTGGATACATACCCACTAGAAAAGGGAGAGTTCTCACCTGCACCCACTGGAAGAAGAAATAGGAAGACAACAGTAGAAGAACACATTCAACTCCAGAAAGACTAATATGACACCAACAGAATCAAAATATTCTGGACTAGCAAGGCCTGAACTTCCCAACACAGATGAAGCAGAAGAGAATGATCTTAAAAATAACTATATGAAGATGATAGAGACCCTCAAAGTGGAAATGAGAAAATCCCTTAAAGAAATGGAAGAAAAAACAAACAAAATGGAAGAAATGAAGGAAAAGAGAAACCAAAACATACAAGAAATCAACAAATCTCTTAAAGAAAGCAAGGAAAGTCAAGAAAAAAAAATCAAACAAATGAAGAAAACAATTCAAAAAGTCAAGACCTGAAAACTGAAGTAGATACAATAAAGAAAACACAAAATGAGGGAATGCTGGAAATAGAAAATATGGGTAAATGTTGAGGAACTACATATGCAAGCATAACTAACAGAATACAAGAGATGGAAGAGAGAATCTCAAGTGCTTAAGATAAACTAGAGGGAAAAAATTCATTGACCGAAGAAAATCTGAAGTATAACAAATCCTTAACAAATAATATCCAGGAAATATGGGACACCATAAAAAGACCAAACATGAGAATAGTAGGTATAGAAGGCAAAGAAGTCCAGCTCAAAGGTGCAGAAAACCTATTCAATAAAATCAGAAGAAAGCATTTCCAACTAAAGAAGGACATGGCTATGAAAGTACAAGAAGCTTCCAAAGCACCAAATAGACTGGACCAAAAATAAATAAATAAATAAAAATGTTCCCCCTCATCACATAATTATCAAAACAACATACATAAAGAATAAAAAAAGAATGAAAGAATATTAATGGCAGCAAAGGAAAAAGACCAAATAGCATATAAAGGGAGACCTATCAAAATTACACCT